TCCTTCAAAAATTGTGTGTAAGTGTACCTAGAAGAATTGATGCTGTTTTGATGGCAAAGGGTGGTCACACCAAATACAGTGGTACCTCAGGTCACGAACGCTTCTGTTCACGAACAATTCGGTTCACGAACAGCACTGTTCACAAAATTTTGCTTCTGTTCACAAACTCCGTATCGGGTGAAGAACAGGATCCGTGGCCATTTTCCCTGTGACACGTGGTCGTGGCTTCCTGTAGGGAGGAGGACTCTCCCTCCAAACAATAATCGCCTCCCCACCTGCCTTCCTGTCCTCCACGCCAGAAGTTGCCTCAAGTAAGGTTAGCGTTCTCTCTCTTCTGTACTGTACTGTACTTTGTTTCATATTTTTGTGGTTTAAAAAAAAAATACATATGGTTCAGAATGGATTAACCGTATTTATATTGAACCTTATGGGAAAACTTGCTTTGGGTCACGACCAATTCGGGTCACGACCGGAGTCACGGAACGAATTAAATTTGTGACCCAAGGTACCACTGTATTGATTTGATTTGGATTTCTCTTCTGTTCACTCACTTTGCATTTTGTAAATTAATAAACATAAACCATTACAATTACAATATATATTTTTGAAAGCATTCTTACTTTACAGCATTTTTTCACACCTGCCTAAAACTTTTGCACAGTACTGTATATACACCTGTTACAGCATTTTTTCACACCTGCCTAAAACTTTTGCACAGTACTGTATATACACCTGTTACAGCATTTTTTCACACCTGCCTAAAACTTTTGCACAGTACTGTATATACACCTGTTACAGCATTTTTTCACACCTGCCTAAAACTTTTGCACAGTACTGTATATACACCTGTTTAGGGTTTTTTTTTAAATACTACTTTTGCACAAATCCTATCCCCAAAATTAAGATGACTTAATTTACTTTTGTACTTAAAATGAAACTGACATAGTAATTTGTAAATATTTCCTTCCCATGCTATCTAATTGAGATCACCAAGTTCAATGGGTAAATCTGTGAGAAATGATAAACAGATTATCAACAGCCACAAGTCTCTTAAAAAAAAAAAAACAAGAAACATTGATAGTTTATTCAGTGTTACAGTCTGATTCCTTGCTGGTAACAAATAATATGACACACACACTGTTGTTTCCCACCCTCTTTACCTTTAACTTGGGACTGTCTGCTATTTTAAAATAAATCTGATATTTCTGATAGCTGGTTAGTGATTTTTTTTCCAACCTAGAGAAGAGCAAATTAAGTTCTTAGACTCTCTTATAAAACAAACTTCATTACTATCTTTTATATACTAAGGTTTCAAATTCCTACATCTGTGCTTTTAACTGTAACTAAAATTATTTGATTTATATCCCACCTTTCTTTACACAAGTCAACATGGTGTACATAATGCTCTCCCCTCTTATTTTCCCCACAACAACCCTGTGAGAGTAGGTTGGGCTGAGAGAGAATGACCACCAAAAGCCACCCAGCCATTTCCTATTCAATAGAAGCTTGTATTTTTCAGATTAAAACTGAAATACATTGAAAAATGGGTGATCATACAAATAAAAAATAATGAAATACCTTGTTACCAATAAAATACAATTTACACAAATAATAACTGAAAGATTAGGTACAGTAATCGCATCAAGACCAACCAGCCCTTTGCTTTAACTTTCATTCAAGGGACTTACCTAGATCAAAAACTGAGAACCCTCATTTTGGGGGAAGGGGCTGAGGGCCACAGTGAATGGTGCCACTTTAGACACCTAGGTAAGGCCAAGGTTTTCCAATTTTTTCCACAGTTTTTGGATGGAATATATAGCTTTTGGGGTTTTAAACTGTATTAAGCCCATTAAAAGCATTACTGTTGTGTGCATTTTCCACCTCAAAATGGCAGGGAACTGTACTGCTGGCAGGCACAGTTGGGAAGTGGTTCCGGATGTTATAAGAAAGATATTTTGGCAACACATGCAACTGGTTTTATAAGCTCTGCCTATAACTGATGCAGATTATAAAGTTTGTAATCTACTGCTAATACTTGTTAAGTTTATCCTGATGAACTGCTTTATGTCAGAGAATGATCTTGCTTAAGACTGTATTAACAATGGATGATGATGCATGGAAAGTACCAGTGGCATTGTGATCAAACTGCATAAGGAAAGCATAATCACCACAGATATATATTTGATACACACAGACATTCTTCCTTCCTTTTAAAAATATGAGTAGGCTTTTCCTTTAGTCCTTCTGGAAATTCCTATAGACTGGCTTAGCTCATTATTGGTCCTTCAGAATTCACTGCAGTTAATGCTGTAAGAATGAAACTGTTTCTTTGTATTTACACACACACACGGAGGAACATGATTTCAGCACCAGTTATAATAAAAATGAAATATTTTCCTATAACACTTTAAGAGGAGAGAACAAATTAAATTTGCTCTTCACTTGTAGTAGTTCTTCCAACAGCAGGCCGTAAAGCTCAAAATCATGGTCAGAGGAGGTAGCTTGCAGCCCACTTTTAGGCACCAGGTCTTTGTTCTTTGTGGTCTAATGGTAATAAAAGTTATTTCTATAATCAAGTTTTCCTCATTATGATGCTTTCCTCATCTTGTTTTAGCCCATTATCTTGCAGAGTTATACTATTTTTAGTTCTGAGGTTTGATGGGATTCCTAATCTCCAGAGATGATAATGTCATCAATAAAATAGTTTCCTGAGTCTTGACTGATCTGTTCCAACTCTTTTTCAAATTTGAAGTCATCCAGGTTAAGTTTACCGGGAACAGCATTGGAATTTATGACCATACATTCATCTGTTTGCTCTTCTACAGGTAGCAAATACAATCTGTTCACATCTTCTCCAATGCTCTACAGTGGGACAGAATAAAGTAGTAAGAAAAATGTAAACAGTTTTTAAATAGTTTAATAATCACTATTACAGTATCATACAATTTTGCTGAAGCTATACTATACAAGCCACTATTAAAAGTTATATATAGAATTAAGCAAATTCATTGATGTTTAAGACTGCCTAAAATACTGAAAAGATTATTAACTCTTGAGCATTAGCCAAAACCAGCCTAATTACTAGAATATATTTTAAAATCTAAGTATTTGCACAAAAATTGACACCAAAATCAATTCTTGAACATGAGTAGGGAAGAAAGAACTAAACAGACTCTAAAACCCTGTGACTTGAATTCACAGAGCTCTACATTTTGCTGTCTTCAGTTAGTCAACAGTATGGAATAAGCAGCAATGTGAACAATCAATAAAGTGAAGAGAGATGAAATGCCGACAGCTACAGCATCCAGTAGAATAGCTTCTACTGTATGTCAGGGAGAGAGGGCATATAGGTCCACAGCTGCCATTTCATCACAATATTACTTTGGGCTTTTGGAGCATTTGAAATAAGAATGGGGATACTAGCGAGTAGCAAATTATAACCCAAAATGAATCAAAGTTCTCTGTCATACCACCTGACCTACAGAACAGCATCCCCACAGCGATGTGTATGTGCCCCCCTCCAACAGAATTTTAAAAGTTTCCACATGAACATGGGTGATATTTCTAGCCTACTTTTCCACATGTATTTTACTACTATAAATAATAAATGAAATTGTGCATAAATACCTCTATGATCGTTGGAGGCTTACATTTAGGGAAGAATGCATATTTGACTTTTTTCCAAGCACAATAAATAGCACCGATAAAACATATTATAAAAGCCATGACACTTGCAGTAATTACAGGGACTTGATATGAAGGATTTCCTATAAAACAAAAAAAGAATTAAGCTAAATGGAGTGAAACTGGGTTGCACTAGAAAGCGAAGTGGATCTCTTCTCATGTATAGCCTTGATGGCTTGTATCACCCAGGACAGAATTACAGTGGTACCTCAGGTCACGAACGCTTCTGTTCACGAACAATTTGGGTCACGAACAGCACCGTTTGCAAAATTTTGCTTCCGTTCGCGAACGCCGGATCGGGTGACGAACAGGATCCACGGCCATTTTCCCTCCCATGACACGTG